ACATTTCAGAACACCTGTTCAAGAAAACGCTCCAAAACTGCGAAGTACTTCACAGTACTGTATATCTTCAAGCTACCCACAAGGGATTACGAATCTTCCTGCATGTACGTACGTAAGGAATCTATTAGGAATGAACTGCTTTAATAATTTCATCATGATTAATTTCCATCCGTTAAAATACCCAAATTCCTCAACTTGAAAACGTTTAATACCCTCGAATTCTCTCATCATTGTTTCTTATACATCACATGCGAGAATACATTTCTTCATGTTCACAGTGACACCTGCACAAAAGTTTTATAAGCTCGACGGACTGAGTTTATAAGTATTTTTCTAGGTGTAGGTACAACTACTACTGTTACGTTTGCAATGTGGTGCTAATCGAAGGTAAACTCACGCCGCAGAAGAATAAAATAAAAATGCAATAAAAATAAAAATAATCTGAATACCATGCACACTTTTGCCCAACCCCATTTCCATTACAAAATGTTTCAACGACGAACTTTTAAACCCTTTCTTCAAGCCAGAAAGTTCATACAAAAATTGGACCACTCCAACATTTTCCTCAATGTTTCAGGTGCTGGTCTCGTATTTAAAAAATAGGTTTTTTCTTTAGAAGAAATTGAAAGCCATTCGGATACGTAGCAAACAACCTTCACTCCAGTTCTCGGCACATTTTGATGTAAAAAACAAACAAACATTCGAACTTGGTATTCCATGTCCAAAAATGAAAGATAACAATTTTCAAGTTGATTGCATTCATCAAAATGACAAAATTGCATCAATGGTAAACCAAATGAGCCTGAAAAAATTGACTGAAGAAAGGCCTTCATTAAGTTAGATAAATCCTGGAAATTGTTCTTAATTTTTCAGATTTTCAATGTTTCAGGTGCTGGCCTCGCATTAAAATTAGTATTTTCTTTAAACGAAATTGAAAGCCGTTCGGGTACATAGCAAACCTTCACTTGAGTTTTTGGCACATTTTTGAAGCAAAAATATATTCGAACTTCATATTCCACGTCTAAGAATGAAAGATAACAATTTTCAAAATGAATGCAATCATCAAAATGACGAAATTTCATAATGGGTAAACAAAATGAACCTGACAAAATTTGAAGCAAAAATATATTCGAACTTCATATTCCACGTCTAAGAATGAAAGATAACAATTTTCAAAATGAATGCAATCATCAAAATGACGAAATTTCATAATTGGTAAATCAAGTGAACCTGACAAAATTGACTGAAGAAAGACCGTCATGAAGTTGGATAAACGCCGAAAATGTTTCTCAATAATACAGATTTGAAACACTACGATAAGAATAATATTTCCGTCGAAGGTTCTGTATACATCAGAATGAGTCGTCATCCGCTGGTTCAGGGAGCTAAAAACTCTTCCAGGTTAGTCTCAAAATACCCCAATACATGTAGAAAATTAGTGCTTAATCCCCTAATACGTGGCACGAGAAAGCAAATCCTCGGCAAACGATGGCAGAATGCGTGCTTCCGAGCAGCAGCAGCGACGTCAACAATCATCACCGGGCAGACAAATTGCTGGAGAAGCTGGGCTTCATTCGGGGTGGGCGAGTGACGAGACGCATGCAAAACGTCGTCGACGGTGTCGTTTCCGAGACTAGAACCCGACGAGGAGTGTCGAGTCCGAATGAGCAATTAGCTGAAGTGCTGGCTGACGTCGACTTCTCGACGCGACGTGCGCAACAGCGGAGAACTGTTCTGGCTAAACTCGGACTCCGAGGATCCGGGAATGACGAGTTAGTACTACAGTACTGTATTTAGTTTATGCTGGGGATACTGCTGATACTTAGTTTGGGAATTCTTCTGGGTTAGTATGGTTGTTTCATGTTGTGTATAGGATGACCATTACTTCAAGCTCAGCTCACCTGTTTGACCTGTATACAGTAATTTACAGGTGGTACCCCACAATTCGACCTCCCATAATTTGACGGTTGAATTTGCTGGGAGATTGACTCTCAATTGGACCTCTGCCTTGCAATATATTCAGTTTAACCAGTTTAATTATAGCTCAGTATAATTAAGCTGGTTGAAAACCCCTGATGCACAGAATTGCTCTGAAGCTACATGAAATTTCAAATGCCAGGCTAAAAAAAAAAAAAACCTGCCATTTGACATTGTCTTACTTTTTGACCAATTCACAATTAAATCCTAGTCCAGCAATGGATTAGGGTAAAATTGCGAGGTGTACCTATGTGTAAGAAACACACAATTTAGCACCTGGTGGTATTTTTTTTTGTCTTGGTTACATGGAGCCCCATCTTCAGCCTGCGTTACCCAATCATATCCTGCGGCCTCGAATAGGTGTCGCTCCATTGTCTGACGCCTTCTCGGCGAATTTCACGTTCTATATCTTTATTTTACCCATGTTTGACTAAGGATTGAGTCTTACGTCACGTTAATAGGTATGCTGTCATTATGAATGAACATCCTGATCATCATTCATAATAGATCGTTAAAGAGGTTGCAGTGACATCTACATGTAAAACAAAAACAAAATATAGTGGGTTTGGGCTCCAATCTGTCCATCATTGTAAAGCAGCTTAGTATCATTTAACTGATGCAAGGAATCGCATGCTTGATGAATTAGTAAGTTTCAAATAAATGATGCTGCATTTTTATGTCTTTGAGGTCATCAGGTTGGGGTTGGTTCGATCATGTTATTATTTTATCTCAGTTCGTGCATTGCTTGCACGAGTCACGAATGAAAACAGTCGTCGATTTTCCTTGTCAAATGTTGCTGGGGCAGGAAACAAAGGACCCCTTACAGAATTGAACTGACCTGACCTCCATCGAAAATAAAATCGCATTGAAATCGATATTTCGCTGATGCTATAAAAGTGAAAAATTCTTTTCAATCATTTTCACACGATCTCTATATTTCCCCCCTGAATTTAGTGAAGAAGGAAGCTGTGCGAGCAAGAAACCAGGCGAAGACTTGAAGCCACCGAAGCCATCCAAAGTTGGCCAGTCTGTGAGGGACAAACTTAGAGCAAAATTCAATTGTGCACCGGATGAGGAAGACGAGGAATGCTTCAAGCCCATGCAAAGCACTCCCTAACTGTTACAACACGCTAGTCCTCAAAGGTGACGTCGGTGACAACTGGACTCCTGAGACTACTCGTCGTTTTAGCCACCTAGACGAAGAAGGCCTCCGCTGAAGCTAGTGAAGTCCATATATCCGTTGAAGTATAAAAAAAAAAAAAACTCCGTGATACTTGATTTTTTAATGTTTCGGGTTTTTCAAACGTTTATGTGAATTTTTGCTTCCATTTTTCTCAGTCGTCACTCGTCAGTTCTTCGTATTGTATGGTTTGCTATGGGGGTAAATGTGGCTGTATTGAATGACTCAGGCATAAGAATCATCATACTGTAATCCGACACGTACATCATACTGTACACACCCTGTAATTTTGCCATGGTATGCAGTACTTCATTTTAATTTCCCAAAGAGTGAAGAGCCAAGAATTTAAGATAACGTTAAAGTGAAGTAGCTCAGCAGTCAACTTTATTTCCATTCTTGCAATGCAGTAGAACATTCTTTTCCATGCTTGTCATACTTGTCATGCTCTGAAGATGTAAATTAGCACTTCAAAATCATATACAATGAACCCCCTCACAACAGACATGCAGTGCAACCCATTTTTGCACAACAGACTGGTTCTGGAGGCAGTTTTCCCTCCCATGCAATGGACTAAATCCACCTGGAGACTTCTGTTGGTTTAAAAATATTGGAGTGGTAAAAAGTGAAAAATTAAAAAAACTATAAGCTTAAACGTATTGTCTGAAAACTTTGTTATTGGATCAGACAACGTGTTTAATTCAGTCAATACACCCCCCAACTGATGTCTTCGGAGGTTATACCAATTTGGAATGCAAGAGGCTACTGAAAATGTGAGTGTATAGCTGATATTCATTGATTAAGTTACAAGCATTATGTAATGCTTGTCAGTGTTCACAAGAGGTCAACAAAATAATTGAAATCCTCCCCCCCTCATGCATCCCTTTGATGCACCCATGCCTATAAGAAATCAATATTAAAACAAAATGTGTTCCAGGAGTCCTGGACTCACAAGTGCATCAATAATAAATTGGCATACATTTTTCTGAGAATGTAACCAATCACAGCACATGGCAATTACTGATCACAAATTAAAGCACAAGGTATTCAGCCTGTTCCCAGATAATTTTAATTGATTGGACAATTTAGAGAGAATCTTAGAGGAGAATTCATTCAAAGCTAACACTTGATCCTGGTCCTGAAGATTTGGGTGAGTGCCTTTTATTATCAATGGGGGAATTCCGATTTTTCTCACATTTTTATTCTTATTGTGTGGAATTTTGGGCTAAGAAAAACACAAGACCACTAAGTCAGTAGTTACATAATGGTGAAATCATGTTATTAACGGTTAGTTTATAACGTAAAGTCTCGTAAAACACTCTTGTACCCAGTTAAAAAACGCGTTATCAGTAGACTTCAATCAATTAGCTCAGGTCTTATTCAACCTGTTTTTTATGCAAGTGACACTAAAAAACATGAAGTCCTTCACCCTTCTGCAACAAAGCTTGATTTCTTTTAGATTTTGGTTGCACTCAAGAATAGCATTTGAAAAACCATGGCAGTACATATGTGCAGGGCAAATTTGTGAAAAAATCCCCAACAAATTCTACTCAGGAATGAAAAAATTATATCGTCAAGGCTAAATTTTTCCTCCTGGCCTTTTCTTGTTCTCCCATTCAAAGATTAAATTTAAGCTTGAAAGCCAGGAGCCCAGATTAGAGATCAATACACTGAAAAAGTTCAACTTGGGACTTCCCCAGCATTTCTTTATCCCAAGATGTTGCCAACGTTGCCCTTCCCCACCTGGCAGGGGTTACATAACCTGTTGGATTAAACTTAAGTGCAGGCCCAGCCAAAAATAAGTCCCACTATTTCCTGAATGGGATGGAAAGGAGGCTGCTGCTGTCCATGGGTTAATCTTTGTTCAAGAATTCCAGGATCGTTTCCATCATGTGCAAACATTATTCGAAATGTTCTTGTTGCAGGAATGTGTTCTACCTGGTGGAGAGCGTCCCGAAATTTGTTGAGGAATACAACTTTGTTATGCAAACCCTGTTCCACTGTCCCAAGATGCCTTCCACTCAGTTCTACGAAGGACTCGTCCGGTTTGGAATCGAAGACAAGGTGCAGTATTTCCGCATGTCTGACAAGGAGCGGGCCACCATTTGGGATGGCTGGACTGAAGAAGGGCCCAAGAAACCCAGAAGACGGGCCGAAATTGACTTCTTCAACCTCGTCACTGATCCTTCAGTCACTAATGGAGCAGTGTTGAAAATGCCGCACCCGGAAAACAGGGTCGTGTTGCGAGGAGCGAACCTAATTATTGATTCCAGAAACACCGAACATCATTTCTATGCTCGAGTTTTCTCCAGAGGCTCCGGGAAAAACAATGTTGTCAACAATATTGTATTCAACAAGGTTAGTTTATGTTCACAGTCGGATATCTCCAAGTTGAACTCAGAGAGAATCCTTCAACTTTTTATTGTTGCCGATTTTGTTGCCGCGAAGAAGACAGGGTTGAAAGAAAAATTTCAGAAGGTCTCAGATCATGAATGGTTAATTTCAACGCCGTGTGAAACTCTTGAGTTGAAAATAGATTATCTTCGAGGGAAATTTGCATTTAAATTTAAATTTGTCTTCATTTTTTTTTTTTAATTTATGGTTGCAGCACATCATTTTATTTGAGTTTAGATCGAAGTTCTCACTACCCCTTCCAAAAATTGCTGCAGTCAAACCTCTCTTAGTCAAATTTGCGAGGATCCAGGAAATTTTGTCTTGAGGAATTTTTGAGTTTCGAAACAAAGCATTTTTTGCTGGAAAGCAGCAATAACAGGAAGGTGATATAGGTGATATTCTGAACCTTAAACTGTTCAATATTTGAGTTGACAGGATTCCGTACTTTTAAACAAGGGGACCATTTTTAATTAGACGCTTTCTTTTCTTTTGAAAAAAAAAACTTTCCATTTTTGTGCTATTCTTCGTCCTTTCTAAGGCTTCAGAATAAAAGCCCAGAGGCTTTTCAAATTTAAGTTTTTGACGTTTGAGGAGAATGAATTCCATTTTGGGAGGTTTCTAGTTTTCTTGAGGGAATTCAGACAGGGATTAACAAAAATTGACATAAGTAAGCTCTGACTTGAAGAGATTTGACTTGGCAATGCCAATCTGTGCCAAATGATTCGCGCACGTTCAACAGAATGAAACTCACAGAAGAATGAATTCCATTTTGGTAGGTCTATATTGTTTTTGAAGGAATTCAGATCGAGATTAAACATACTGTAAATTTTAAATAAGGAAGCTCTGACTTGGGGGTTTGACTTAGCAATGCCAAACTGCGCAAAAAGATACGCACATCTAGGTTTGACGTTTCTGACATCCCAGTTAGATATATAGGCTTAAATTTTCCGTGTTGACCTTAATAATTTCATTTTAGAATGAGGTCATCATCCTTAAGCACTCCTTTCAAATTGCTAGCTAGACTTTTTTTTCAATACATTTTCCACACTAACTTCTCATGCTTTGTATTTTTTTCAAGTTGACAAAACGAGTCGAAATGGACTCAGATGTGAGGAAAACGCATTTGCCTGACCGAGGACCGAATGAAAACACAGAATTTTGTGATGATGAACTTCCACCACTCTCAGTTGAAGATGAAGATCCATTGGCTGCTTTCCGCTGTCCAGGTTCTAAGCGACCCCAATCATTAATTTGTAATTACTAGGACACAGCAAACAATTTCTGTCGATCTTATTTTAATCCTCGTTTCATTGTTATCCTTCTTTCGAATCTTTCCTTTTTTAATCCTGCTGATATTATCGATTGTTCAGTCATGCTGCGAAAGCCTTTTGAGAGAACTCGTGGCATTCTGATGAAATTGTTCATTGCCAGGAATGAAGGCTCATATTTCATTTTCTCTGTGACGTCGTCACTGCTGGCTATTGTGCTTTTGCAAGGAAATTCATCATTCAGGTTGCTTTTCTTCTGCACAAATAATGATGCGTGACGCCGCTTCTGACAATGAATAAGTGCCAAGAAATGACCTGCTAATGAATGTCCAGGATGCATGAAAAATGTCTCTTCAGGTCCGCACAATTTCTTCCAAAAGTTTTATTGTGAGACAGCAGAGTATATTTTAATCCAATTTAAACACAAATGTGGCTTGTGAAATTTGAGTAAAGATGCAGTTTTTGTTAAGTCATCATCTTCAAATAATTTGTGTTAAAGAAATCTTAAACACGCCAAGCTGATATTAAATCTTTAGAATATTTAATCTTTGGTTTTCAAAGGGTAACTTCTTGATGAAAAATCACATTTTGGGTGGACTCTCTGTGGAAAACTCAAGTGACCAGAAAAAAAAGTGTTGTAGAGAAAATTTTGCTGTAGAGAACCCCATATACAGGCAGGATATCAAACCCCCAGGCAAGGGCACCATTAGCCTGGGGAAAGTTACTACAGTACTGTACTTACCAAACTCAATTCTCTTCACTGTGAATACTGGCCCATACGTAGACACCAGGATCCCCCAGCCTCAGAACCCATCTGAACCTTGTGGGAGGAACAGGTTGCAGGGAGTTACCCCTTGCTGTGGAGGGTATTCAGGCCTCCAACACTGAAATACAAATGTGTACCAGTAGGCTGAATTAACTTTGTGAATAAATTACTTATTACCAGTGATCAATCTTATGAACTTCATACTTACAGAAAAAAATCTAAAAACATTATTAGTGAATCTTTCTTAGAGAATCATATTAGTGACAATGAATTGTCACTCACTAAATTGCCTATTCCTGAAGGCAAGCAAAATTCTCCACAGCAGTCTTTTCTATATAGCAAATATTTCGTGGCTCTATTGGGTTAAATCCCTATTTTACAGGTGGATTCTCTCTACAGCAAAACTCAAGGGAACAACAGAAAAAAACTTGCTGTAGATAGAATTTTGACAGTATCAACAGGACAGTCCATATTTACGAATTAAGTGAAGATATCAATATTTTCAAAACATGTTCACAGTATCTATAGCATTTCCATCCTCAATTAAATTTCGCATGCATTTTTTGAAAGTCTGAAAAGGTTCAAATGGCCCATAAAAAGGCTTAAATTTCCTATCAGGGATATTTGATTTTAAAAATTTATTATGTTATATAACCCGATTTTAAGCCTTTCTGATGGGAAATTCAGCCTTTCCGGGTTAATCTACCGCACCCAAATCTTGCGAATATTTTAGCAAAGGGCCAATCTTTGAATGATTCAGTTCCGAAACTCAAACTGATGAGCCATAATATAATGAAACGTATGCATTATCTTGCAAAAATTCAGGACCTCTTGGCACAGATTGATGGAATTATTTGCTCGNGAAACGTATGCATTATCTTGCAAAAATTCAGGACCTCTTGGCACAGATTGATGGAATTATTTGCTCGCCTCAAAGTTCGTCGAACACGGTTATTCACTTGCTCAAATTCGCGTCTGGTTCCTAAATACTGAATGACAAATTTTCTTTCCCGGAGGATACTCTGTAAAATGCATGGATGCCCTCATTTGATGGGAAATGCATTACTTGGCAGAGGGTTAAGCATTGATTTGTTCATCAAACAATTATCCGAAACCCGTATGCATTTAGTATACTGTACTCGAACTTCACCTGTCATTATTTAATCATGGCCGTTCATAATTAATCTTGATGCATATCACTGCAGAATTATGCCGATCAATAATAAATGCCAGAAAAAGTTTCAGACGCCTGAGTTGTGATATAAACCTATAAAATAATGAGGAATAATTACAGGAATAGCCGAATAAGTGACACCCATCGTAAACGATGGTCGGGGTTCTTCAGACTGAGGTTCAGAAATGTTCGTGATATTTATTGTTAAAATAACAGAGCAATACAATCGTTAAAGGATCTAAGGGATACTTCCATATGGATCTATATTCAGTTCAGGTATGTACGTAACATTTTCCAGCCAGTTCTCGAAGTTTCTTTCCTACAAAATTTCCTCTGCAGACTTATGAGGTATTTCACAGACGCTGCTTGGTCTGTTATGAACAATTTTGGTGTAGAATTAAAATTATCAATTGTTAAATGATTTGAAACCGGAATGTAAAATATACTAGACACACAAAAATTCAGAAAATTCTACTTACGGACATTTAAAGGCAAAAATATGCTCAACACCTGGGAAGTTATAATGTCTCAACAGTTGCAGAACACGTTGTCAACAATTTCAGAGCGATGAAAATATTTTTCAAAATTCTTAAATACCTCGAAGCAATCGTGTTTGTTACCTGTAAATATAGAATATACTGTAAAATACAAAATTTGTTCTTGTCCTTCTGATGCTGCCTTCAGGACTCCCTTTCAAATAAAATGGCAGATTTTGCGTTACTTTCTTTTGCACAATTATTTTCCATGTTTTAAATGCAAATGCGTTCATTTCAAAAAGTTATTAGCATGAAATTTAATGTGAGCATAAAATGTTAGTACAGTAATTCTGCCCATTTTAAGCACCAACCGGATTAATGTAAATTCAATCATTTTTTCGGGCTGGAAAAGTAAATTTTCATTGATTTTTTCTTCGTATATCTGGATGTGAAGATGAATTTTCAAGTTGTAACTCAGAATTTTCTTAAACTGATCCAGTTTTGGCATGGAAACGTTTCATGACAGCAGTGCGGTATATAAACGATTTGTTTTCTTGAGTCACTTTTTCTATTCACCAAGAAATAATGTGTGAAATTTTGATCATACGAATTTGTTTTAAGCTGCGACCCGCCTTATCTGAGTCATGTTCTACATGCAGGTACGTACATATGGAACAATTCAAGATTGTTCAATGCAATTCTGATCTTATGATGACAAGTTCAATGCCAGTTGGGAAAAGAAAACGAGGTCTACTCCCCCACAAAATCGATCCCAATAATGACCCAAGTCAGCACATACACACATCAGTGCATATGTGTGTGTGTTTGCAGACTGGCAAAAGAACTACAGTATATACGAATAACAAAAGCAGCATTTTTCCTTTGCCAAGTTAATATATGCCGGCTTTCGACTTTCGTCTCCGAGCCCGTCTGAATTATAAATGCCCTGCATGGCCACTGAATGCCACCAGGGTTAAAGATTCATGCTTTCTGCGGGTTCAAGGGAAAGAGAAAAAAACTGTGCGGCCCTCCTGCAATATTCCTTGCAGCAAAGGGACCCGCGACTGATGCAAAATTCCAGTTCCTCCCCCCATGGGTTGCCATATAAGTATATCGTCCGTCCGTGACACGCATGCATTCAGTCAGTCGGGTTCGTGCTGCAGGGAATGTCACTTTGTGTTTCGCTGACTAAAAGTCGCGCGACACGATAATTATCCTGAGCTTGAAAGACAGAGAGAAAACACGTTTCTAATTGCTGCTCAGGTGAAAAGTCTTCGCCACTGCCGCGAAAATGCAGTAATGGGCCCCGAGATGCGGATGTACAGTGAGACCCTGAGATGCGGACATAATTGGTGCATTAAGAGTGTCCTTAAGTCAAAATGTCCCTAAGTTGAGTCTCATTTTCCCTTGGACTTACAATGTATAATTTTAATTGGTGTTTTATGTACAAAATAATCACTTTGATTACATTAAAAAAAACATTTTCTCCCAATTTAAACTTGACTCAATCAGTATATTTCAACAGCATATGGACATCTGGGAAATTGCATACTAATACCTCTGTACAGTACATAGAGATTTTGGCATTCTTTGTAAAAATAACATTCAATAAGTGAAAAAGAGAGAAGGAAGTCCCTCTATGCTGGAGGTAATTTAAAAAAATTACCTTAGACCATTTTCTCTATTTGATATGCCTTCGAGAAAAAAGGCATATCAAATTAGTACATAGAAATAATGGCATTCTTGGTAAAAAATAACATTAAAGTGAAAAAGAGAGAAGGAAGTCCCTCTATGCTGGAGGTAATTTTTTTAAATTAGCTAAATGGATGGTAATTTGGTGAGAGAAATGCTCCAGAACTTTTTTTTACATACATTTTAGGGTAGGAAATATCTGTTTCTTATAATTTGGGCTGAAATGTTTTTGCAATTTTACCACTAAATGTCCATATGTTGAGTCAGTGTCCTCATGTCTGGCCTTTTTTATTACTTTTTTCTGGGAAAATAAGTGTCCTTATGTCAAATTGTCCACAGGTTGAGGTGTCCGCATGTGGGGGTCTCACTGTATATCACAAATTTCACAATATTGACCGCTCACCAAATGAAGGTTGGAATTTTGAAAATCAAATGTAAATCATAGGAAAATTATCATTATATTGCAACAATATAGTATGTTTTAACAAGATTATTTGCCTCATGCGAACAGTTCCGATACGCACAAACAGTAGTATGATTGTATGTCGGCTCAAGCCAACATACTCCTTAGAAAACTATTGTACTTGAACACTTTTGTATACTGGCGGATATATCGATAAGGAAATTCGGGAAAAACGGTATCACTATAGCGAAATTCGCGATAATACCTCCATGTTTTTATCATGGTAACAGGCATGTCATATGCTATTTTATCTTCTGCTGGACTTCAGGACCCGCAGAAATTCTCAGATAACGAAAATGTACGTTTTGGCCCATACAAATGTGACAGTAAAATTGCTTCGTGCAGTATTAATCCCATACCCTCGAGTTCCAGATTGAACAACAACTTGAATGATTTAAATTGTTTTTGTTATGTAACTGACGTACTATATTATGATTAATTCCCTGAGCCTCCCGGCAAAAAAAAAAAAAAAAAATGACAGCAAAACGCGAGTCCTGTTCATCTCTTATTCGAATTGTACGCAGAGATTAATGGATCAATTATTCCTTCTGAGATTGAAAACAAATTCCCATGAATCAATTAATCTCAGAGTTTTTTTTCATAATCAAAAGTTTGAGTG